CACACACTCACACACACACTCACACATTCACACACACTCACACACACACACGCACACACTCACACTCACACACACACTCACACACTCGCACACACACTCACACACACACTCACACACTCACACACACCAAAGCCTGCACTCCCCTGCTGCCAAGCAAGCCACCCGTCTGTTCTTTTTTCAGGCTCCAGGCAATGTGTCCCTCTTGGTGTCTGGTGACAGGTATTAAAAGAGAAAAAAGAAAGGCCCCTCCTGGGGCCAGTTCAAGTGTCAGTGACTGGGATTTAAGGGACCTTGCTGGCCCCACTCCTCCCTCTCACATTACATCAACAATCTCAGGCTCCAGGCGGTGCGCGCTGGGGCCAGGGGTCCTGAGTGATGAGGTTCAGGGGCCCGCGGGCGCCTTTCACAGCTCCACCAAGGCACGCTGGCACACTCGGGTGTCACCTGAGCTGCCTGGGGCCGGCTGGAGTTCATCTGGGACCCTGGGCCTTCTTAACCCTCGACTCCCTGAGCTTGGCGTGACAACCCTCTCACTTACACTCTGTGAAGGGGACTGGAGTGGACGCTTGCTGGCCAGGGCTTTTCAAGACCCTGCTGAGAATGGAGCTGATGATAACCGCATTGGCCTCGGTGATGACTAGTGTAAGTGGAAAGCAGGGCCCAGACAGCAAAGCCTGGAATGTTCTTTGCGGTCTTTGCATGACTCCCTGTCCTTGTCCGTGGAAGATCTTCAGGAAGACACGGGGCTTCCTTGACCACTTTCCTGATGTATTATTCACTTTTCACAAAAGCGGACTTGATTTTCTTTTCCACCATGGTTCTTGTGGATTTCCTTCCACATCAGCTGAGAGCGTATTGTTTCATTGTAGCTCGTGTCAAACACACATTGTGTTCAATGCAGGAAACAATATAAACAAAACTTTTCATCTTTAGAAAAAAGATCAGAATAGCATGTACAATGAACATTTCAAATAAAAACACAAAACATGATATACTTAAGTATCAAAGTTGGTAAACGAAGAAAAATTCTTGCTCCCTAAACTGTTTTTCAGCAAGCTGCCTTCTGGTCTTTGTTCAATTGGATTCCTGTTTTTATAGAGGCACTAGGTGGAAAATTTGCATCCTACTTTGTTGACTTGATTCTTTTGTTACTTTTTTTTAAAGTTGTGGATGGACTTTTATTTTGTTTATTAGTTTTTATGTGGTGTGGAGGATCGAACCCAGGGCCTCATGGTGGAAGGCAAGCGCTCTGCCACTGAGCCCAGCTGCAGCCCCAAGGCCTGAAAGCTAGCATTCTGTTCACTACCACAATTCCATTCAACCAGATCAGCATGACTTATCATTTCCTTTTTTGTTCATTGTTTCCAATTATTCTATTATTTTAAAAGTCTTTTCCTAAACTGTGGGCTAATGGATTTTTCCTCTTTTGGCATTATTTTCTTAGATTGCATTCCTAGAAGTAGAATTGCTGGGGTAATATCTATTATCTGATTAAGCAACTTCAACGGCTTCTGACATTTTCTCCAAAGCTTTCTAGGAGTTTACTGGGCCACGGGGAACAAATAAAAGGCAAAGAAGACCACCCAGGTGCCTGAGCTACTTGACAGCGTGCTCACAGACCTGACCCAAGAGGAGAGGAAATGGCTTCCGCAAGTCACGCCCGGAGTCCCGCTATTCCACAGGGGTGCCGGCAGTCACCTGCTGCACCAGACGATCCAGAGTCACAGTGAGAGGGTTGTGCCAGGTTCAGTTATCTTTCGGCCACGTCCATGAGAAAGTCTCAGTGGAGTGCCACTAGGAGAGAACACCTTTCTGATATGGCCCCATCTCCCTTTAGTGGACAGGGAGCTCCAGTGCAGAACCTCAGCAGGTGAGAGCTCCAAGCTAGAAACGAACAACACTGCTTCTTTGTCTCAGAGTTTGGCCCAACAGTTACCTTCTATTTATATCATTACTGGCAATTTCTGGCACTGACATCAAATTTCCTAAAAAAAAAAAAATGTAAATGTGCTCAGGATGTGGAGAGACTAGGATCCTTGAACACAGCTGTCACAATTGTGAACGGGCACATCCACTCGGGGAAAACACTTTAGCAGCTCCTGAAAGCCTTAAATGGAGAAAGCAACTTTACGACCGGTACACACGAGGATTGAAAACCTACATCCACACAAAATTTTGCCCACAACTACTCATATCAGCATAATTTAGTCATCAAGAAGCCCAACTAAATGTCCATCAGTTAATGGAGATACATCATGCGGTGTGTGTCCCGCAGTGCAATATCACTTAACGATGAAAAGGAATGAAATACTGACTTGTGTACAAACCTGGAAGACGGACACTTATCCACATACGTAAAAAGTCCAGAAGAGGAAAAAGCCCCATGTACAAGAGCACATTAGTCGTTATCAGGATTGGGGGCACACGGGAAGTGACTGCCTAATGGTGACAGGGTTCCTTGGCAGGGTGATAAACATGTAAAAATAGCCAGTGGTGATGAGATTGAAGAAATCATGGAACTATATGCTTTTAAAGAGTGTTGGGATTAAATTGTAACATTGTTATCATTAAATAAGTAAAGAAATGCCCTCAGGTTCATGACATATATAGATTTTTAAAAAAAAAAAAAAAATTGAAGTAGGCAATGGCAGTGCGCAGCGTTGTAAGGATGGCGGAGCCTTGGGGGATGACAGGGACTGCAGGACACGCCCTGCCCATGCTTCGATGACCACCATCCTCACCATCCCAGAGGTGGCTCAGAGAGAAGCGGCTTCCAGGCTTCCCCTGAGATGAGCCGCTCTTTAAGCGCTCAACAATCTCCGGCATGTGACTTAATTGAACTTCAATTTCTGGAGTGTATAAATAATGAAATACGGCATTTATGTGTAGTGCTATTTACTTTGTAGCCTATTAACGCAAAACACACTGAATTATTAAAGCGAGTAATTGGTTCTTCTCAGACCCTCTTCTCTGGCGCCTCCCGCAATCTCTTCCCGGTGCTTCCAGGGAACTGACAAGCTCCCCGGGTCAGTGAGCCTGCTGCTGGGGGATCCGGGCTAGCAGAGGACGCTGGTGGAAAGCCACACTTCTTTAAAGCACAGCCCCAACTGGACTGTTGGCCGCTTCTTCCTAGGAAATGCATAAGCATCAGGGAAATGGTAGAAGAGAAACGAAAGGAGTGGAATGTGCTTGCTCAGGGCAGAATGAATGAGCAGAGCCTTCCTGTTTCCTGGAGTCTTTTGCAAGATGAGACCAGCTAGCGATTTTCACGTGGAGGTCGGCACATGAGGCCAGAGCGGCTGCTGTGGAGAGGGAGCACCTCAAGACAGCTCTGGAAGGAGAGCCAGGGGACAGCGGCTAAAGCCACCTCAAGGGTTGGCAGCAGGAGTAAAGTTTCCTGCACACCGCGGCTTTTGGAAGGCATGAGTCAACTGACAGAAAGTTTCCCCTCCGAAGCTGCGATTTGACCCCTCACTGGGAACCCAGACATGACACCAAGGACTCCGCTCGCAGTTAAATCACTTTTAATGACCTGGGGTTTGGAGTTAAATCAAGTGTCATTAATCTTTTCAGACAGACACAAAAGCTAACGTTTGCTTGAAGTCACGGTATAATATGAATGTCAGCAGCGTGCCAAAAACCTGCCATGGGGCACTTAATAAAAGTATTTGATAAATGCTTTTAATTATTAATAGAACATATTTAACTTGTTTCATGATGTCTGAAACGTGGCTGTGCTCCTAAACAAAGTCTAGGTCTAATTCACAGTAGGTGCTGGTGTCTGAAGTTGGTAACTGTGTGTGTCTGTGTGTGTGTGTGTGTGTGTGTGCACGCACGCGCTTTTAGATATGACACATACGTATGGCTTAAGACTAGTAAATGTCGCAGTAAGGATTCAAATCTAGGGCGTTGGACATTGGACTTCAGAGGTTTTGTTTTGTTTTTTAAATAACACAACAGAAATTCCTCTCTCGCAGTTCTGGA